AAAGAGGAGATCACAGATAATGAACAGGAGAAGAAAGATGAAAAGGGCATTTCTGAAAGAGAGAATCATGAATTAGAAGCTGTAAGTAAGCTGTATTAATACATTTGGTCATTACGTGCATTGTCTGTGGCATGGATGTTGAACCTCTTTCAGCCTAAACACCATTTTGGGGAACCTCTCAGGTGCTGTAGCGGGTGAGCATCATTTAAGGCAGAAGGGGTAAGGTAAAGTTAGAAGAGTCAGGGCCAAAAATACCAGCATATTTGAACTTAAACCTCTTACTGACTGTAACTAAGTCTTATGAAAAGATTTCAGATTTTTGGAAAGGGGAAAATCCTACACAAAAGGCAGAAAACCAAATGTTTGCTGGTTATGGGAAAAGAGTATGCCAGATTTAGACCCAAGAGGGTTACATTTGGGCAGTTCTGCACTTCTGATCTAAGGTTTCACTCATATTCTTGCCTGGTTGTTTGAAATTACAAGGTTTAACAACTAGCACAAGTGAGGAATAGACAAAATATGCATCAGTAAATGTTGGTAATAGAAAAATAAATGTAATTTCACCATAGTTTCTTTCTTCATAATTTTATTTAAAGCTTAAAGGCTGTCCATATCAGAAGAATAAAAATGTTTCTTTATGAACTGTGTAAATTAAAATTCTGTCTTTCAAGCAAGGAACCTGTGAAGGAGTTCCAGTTTTTTCTTCTCTGCTTTTATTGTTCTAGGAAGAAGGTCAGGAGCTTAGTGAGCATGAAGATGATGAAGATGAAGAAGATGAAGATGATGACATGGAAGTTGTTGAAAGCTCAGATGAATCAGATTCTGATTCTGATGAAAAAGGTAACAAGTTTTTAACATTTTCTGTGAACTATCATCTATCTATTATTTATTTATTAAAAGATTTTATATACAGTCCTCTACAAGCATCTTGGGAGGGTTTTACAATAAAGGCAGGACAAAACAAAAGAAGAAAAAGCATAGCATCCAATTCCAATAAATAAAATCTACCTTAAAACCAATTAAATATTAAAGTAATGGGAAAATAAAAAGGTTTTTGCCTGGCACTGCAAAGAATAAAGTGTTGGTGCCAGGTGAACCTCTCTGGGGAACATATTCCATAATTGGGGCACCACCAAAGAAAAGCCCCTTCTCCAGGTAACCAGCCGCCTAATCTCCTTCAAGGCTCCCAGAGAAGGACCTCCACCTCAGATCTTATTGACTGGGTTCATATGATCACTACAGCCCACTATAGTTTCTTTAACTATAATTGTGTCACATGCCAAGTGACTTTTGAATATTCAAGCAGCAACTCTGGCTTATTGTGATGTCCCAACCCAACAAGCACGAGTTGTTGGCTTGCTAACAAAGCATCCGGAACCCATGAACATGTTAGGGTTGTGGATTGTTTGTTAAAGACCAGAAACACACCTTGTTTGGGTCACATGACAAACCACAACTTGCATGTTCAAAATGGCTGCCTACACATGCCACAAGCTACTGTGGCTAGATACCACAGTGGTCTCCTTGATTGTGCAAACCAGCCTATCATCATATTTTTCAAATACTTACATGGGCATCTTTGGGTAGAGATGAGCAGACTTAGGGTTACAGTTAGCAGCTATTTCATGAATGTGATCATGGTGCAACAGGAGTCTTTTAAGTTGCAAACATCCTGTGAGAAGATATATTAAGGAGTCTTTTCATGTAATGTATCTCTTGTTTTGGAAAGCTGTTTGTCCTCAGTGGTTTTCAAGGTGATCCTCAACTCAGTTTTGGCATTCATATTAGGAAAAGGTTAAATAACACTGGTTAGAATGTGCTTTCAGTTTTACAATGGCGTTTTTCTATTTAAAAAGGTTTTATATAGGAATCTGTTTGCTGTATTTGTAGTGGATACACTCCAGGTTCAAAGGTGTTCTGGATCCACTTAAATATGTCCTTTAGTTCAGCTTGCCCTGTAGTGGTATGAAAATGCATTGCCTGTGAAGTTTGCTGATGAGTCAGTTTGTTCTAACACTTTAATAGAATGTGATTGGAGGAAGAACAACCAATAGATGTCACGTATTGGTGAAGATAATATGCCTGGGGCTTTCTCTTCAAATTCTAATAGTTATGCTGATTTTTTGTATTGGGATTATGCAGTTAGCTTTTGAATCTATCTGTAGTATTATAGTTTGCTTAAATGAAAAATTTTGCATGGGGTGCTCTTAGAGTTGTATATACTTTTGAAGCTATAGAAGCTTATTACTGCAATATGTTAAACTCTTTCTGTTGATTTTCTTAACTTGCAGCAAATTATCAGGCAGATTTAGCAAATATCACCTGTGAAATTGCTATAAAACAGAAGCTGATAGATGAACTGGAGAACAGCCAACGAAGACTTCAGACCTTGAAAAGGCAATATGAAGAGAAGCTAATGATGCTGCAGCATAAGATTCGAGATACCCAGCTTGAAAGAGACCAGGTGCTTCAGAACTTGGGTAAGGAGAATGTTCTAGTTTTCTTGTGTTGGACATCCTGTAGAATGGGGGTTGCTCATATTCGTTGTAATGGATAACATGAGAACCTCCTTGTAACCAGTATGAGCCACTCATAGGAAGGATGGTATTCTAGACTCACAGATCTTAACAATTGATTTCTGCCCATCCCATTTTTTGTGCCCTCTCATTTGTGCAAATGAGAGTGCTAGCAAAAACTGAAAGGTGATGTGCAAATAAAATCCTGATGTTAGACATTAGCACTGAGCTTATCTATACATGATCCACAGACTGAAAAAATCATTGCTGTCATTTAGGTTCAGTAGAATCCTGCTCAGAAGAAAAGGCAAAAAAGATTAAAGCAGAGTATGAAAAGAAGCTCCAGTCTATGAATAAAGAACTGCAGAGACTACAGGCTGCTCAGAAAGAGCATGCACGATTACTTAAAAACCAATCTCAGTATGAAAAGCAACTGAAGAAATTGCAGCAGGATGTGGCAGAGATGAAGAAAACAAAGGTTTATTGTTTTGTTATTTCAAGATGCACTGTTCAATGTAACAAATTCTACATGGAAGATGAACTACATCCCCCGTCATTCTGTAAATTTCCATCTGTAAAATGTGCAGTTTACTGGCCAGTAGAATACTATGGGGTTCTGGCAAAGATCTGGGTTCAGGCAAAGTGCTTAACAAAGCATGGATGCAGGGTCCTAGATTTGCTTAGCTGCTCCTCCTGGCAGAAGGTGCCAAAGTGAACAGCCACCTGTTTGCTTTCCCCAGTAAGCCAGAATTCTGAACTGTTGGCTTATCATTAAATGTGAACTGACCTACTGTGAATACAGAGAACTGTTTACTGACTGGAAACTTACTCTGGGAAACAATTGTTTGGAAGAGCGGATTATCCATAAACGTTCACTCATGTGGTGAGAAGACTTCTTTAAAACTGCCTTACTACCATGTATTTCTCATGTGTAAATGTATGGTGTTTTCAGAGCTTATACACAGCTTTTGGATAGTGGTTCACCCACAGCAGAAAGGGACCATTTGACAAACAGCTGTCTGAAATTACTCCTGCTAAGTGTGGGGATCTGAAATTTTGTAAGAACACAGGGCTGCTTCTCAGCTCCAAATTAAGCGATGCTAGGGAAGTGGTTGCTGTGAGGAAGTGATGGTCATCTGCCTTGTAGCAGTGCTGAGGAAGAAAGCTAGTACAGGGTGTGTTTGTGTGAATATTACAGGACATAATTTTTAAAAGGTTGTTGAATAACCTTTATTCAGGTTCGTCTGATGAAGCAAATGAAAGAAGAGCAAGAGAAAGCCAGAATGAATGAATCCAGAAGGAACAGAGAGATTGCACAGCTTAAAAAAGAACAGCGAAAGCGAGAGGTAATTAATAGCTGAGAGCATGGACAGATCATATCTGTTGTATTAGCATAGTCTAAACGTAAGTGTGGGTTAAACTTGAATTGAAATGAAACCAGACTGCGTAAGATAAAAAAGTGACAGAGCAACTTTTAAACTTATTCCTTGGGGAAAGCTGTTAGGAGCTGAGGAGTGTCTTGGTTCAGAATTAATCATCCGTAGGGGATGACAGTGAAGATTTTCTGACTGTTCAAACAAGGTCCAAGTTAGGCAACAAGTATGCAGAAGTATAGGACAGCTAGTCAAAAAGAGCAAATGTCTGTATTTTAAAACACATGCCAGAAACATTTGGCGAAGAACACAATGTATAATGTTTTCATGCTAAGATCAGATTTGCAAAATTCTTAGCATCTTTTTTTGGTTTGATCAGTTGGTAATTATGTGTCTGATGTTACCAAGAGAATTGTAGCTCTTGATTTATTGATGACTCTTCTTTACAGCACCAGCTAAAACTTCTAGAGGCTCAGAAGAGGAATCAGGAAGTTATTCTGCGCCGTAGAACAGAGGAGGTACAAGATTATCTCAGTGTTGCAGTATATTTGTAAATTATTTTATTAAAGCATTCTAAATTGTAAGCAAAATGCATCTGCATTAGACATTGTTATCCCACTACTTTAGGTTACAGCGCTTCGTCGTCAAGCAAGGCCAATGTCTGATAAAGTGGCTGGCAGGGCAAGTCGGAAGCTAAGTCTCCCTGAGCACTCCAGTCAAGAACAAACTTCTAGTGTATCATCAGTAGATAATGAAGGGTCACGAGCAGTATCACAACAGAGGATGAAAATACCTGTAGCAAGGGTCCAAGCATTACCAGCGGCCACAACCAATGGGACCAGGTAATAGGAAGCAAACACTGAGTAATCTGTTGTTATTGTAAATGCAGCCTAGCAGACATTCAGCACAGCATGGTAGGAGAAGCCTCCCCCAGATTCTTAAGAATATCTGAAGCTGCCATAATTCATCTAGCTCAGTACAGTCTATGATGGGGGCGGGGGGGGGGGGGCAGTTTCAGGTCTCCAGATCTTGTTTGACTGCAGCTCCCATCATCTCTTTTCATTGTCTGTGCTAGCCAGGACTGATGGAAATTGCAGTGCAACAACAGTAAAGTGCAAGGCTGAATATTATCTACCTTCAGTCTACTATGACTAGGAGTAGCTCTTAGCTACTAGTAGCAGACCCATTCAAACATGGGTCTTTCCCATTCCTGCCTGGAGATACCTGGAAGTTGAACCTGCAATCCTCTGCGTGCATTGCCCATGTTTTTCCTATTGAACCATAGCCATTCCTTCTGCCACCTTGCTCTTCTGCTGCTTCAAGGGCTTCCTTTTCTCATCTTGCTAGAATGCACAATTCTGATACAACAGTTTTTCAACCACCTTGCTGTTAGCCTTGGGCCTTTCTCTTTGTGAGTGCTATTGAGGAGTGTCCTAATATAGCACTTTGCATAAATATGTGCTTTTGGGAGAAATAGGAATTTGAATATGAGCAGCCCCAAATCTCACTTGACCCTTTGATGAGGTTAAAGGTTAGGGTTAAGGACTGTACTGAAAGAATCAGCAGCCATATAGTTCAGGAAAATGAATCCATGACTTGTATAGTGGAATCCACATTGAATTTTGTCATCTCTTAACAATACCACTATATTTAAATTGCTGATATTTACATTCATTCTAGCTCTCTTCCATAAAAGTTAAAGAAGCAACATCTGTACGATTTGTAGTTGGGTATAAGTAGGAACAGGGAAACTCTGAATGACAGAATTCTTAGTTTTTGAGAATTCTCCAATTCTGTTGTAAATATGTTCGCCAGAGCTCAGATTTGAAGGTATTAATGGAAGCTATGTGGTTGTTAGCATAGCTAAGGATAAATGGTCCAAATTTGGGGTAAGATGTTGTTTAATATATTTTAATCAAACAAAAAGCAAAACAAAACCAAAAACACTAGGGAAATGTTTGCAATAGTACTGAACAGAAATCTGGAAGAAGGTACCAGATTCTCTGAAAATAACTACTACTTCCAACCACTTAATATGTCAGTTATTAAAAGTGTTTGTCTCTTATCAGCAGTGAAAGTAAAAAAAAAAGTTTATACTATGGTATTTGAACAATGTTAACCTATGACTTTCTTACAGGAGTAAGTATCAGAGAAAAGCAATGACTGCAAGGGTTTATACCTCAAAGGGAGCCAGAATGAAGTGGCAGTTACTGGAACGTAGAGTTACAGAGATCATTATGCAGAAAATGACTATATCCAATATGGAGACTGATATGAATAGACTACTTAAGGTGAGGCATTTTTACAGGCGTCTGTTTAAAAATTTGCAAAATTTCAGAGAATGACACTTTTGCATTTTGTGGAGGGTGTGAGCCTTAGGTCTGGACTGTACAGGCACATTTGTTATGGAACTATATGATGTACTGGTTGGCATTTTTGAATGGGTCCTATCTTGAGTACGCTGCTCTAATTTGTTTGGACATGGAGTATCTTTAACTGCCTCTTTCTCCCTCTCTTTCTTTTGGGTATCTAGGAATTTAATTTCGATCTTATTAATTAACTTCTCCCATGGAATTGTGTCCAAGCCATAAGGCTCCTTCATTGGATTATGTGGTTCTGAGGGTGAGACACTGATAATCAAACAGCCTATGACTCTGGGTTAACAATGAGCAACATAAAACTATTTGTACAAGAAGCGTATTGGTTTCAAGATGTTCAATAACTCATTTCCTTAGTAAATAAAACTGTGTAAACTAATAACTTTTGATGGAGGTAATCTCACTGTTTCCCTTCACAAACACTCCTCACACACTTATCTTCTTTTCTCTCTTGAATATACTTTGACCAGTTATTTTATCTATCTCAGTTTAATTTTTCCCTTCTGCACTCAGGTTCCTGTCAGCTTCTGTATCTCACACCCTTCTAATAATGGACAACATTGGGTTTTGACTCTCTCTAGTTACTAATACAGCCTCCAAGTTTTCTACTCCCTTCCCTTTTGGGTCTGAAATGCCTTTAGCGGCACTCCCTGAGGTTCTGATGAGAAGGCTGCCTCCTCAGATTCTGCAGACTGTGACCAAGCACAACAGAGTAGCAGTATATATTTCTGTCTTCTTGCACCCTTCCAAGCTCTGCCTGCACGCTCTCAGCCCCCAACCAATCCCCTCACTCACTCACCCTCCTTCCCCTCTTGTTCTTCTGAAACTTAACCGCATTTAAAGAAACCTTGTCTCATTATACTTTAAATCATCACAGGTCCTAACAAAAACAACATGATAGAAAGAACTTTGGTATTAATTCCATTTGCACATTTTCCAGTGGGATCAGTTTATACATTCAGTTCCTGGTCATAACATGTACAGTAATTAAGGGAGGGTTCTCATGGCTCCTAGACAAAGCCTGAGATTTCTAGACAGTTTCACATTCCCAGCTGCAAGGTTGGAGGACAATGCTTCCTCAGACCTGGACAGTGCTTCTTACCTCAGCACTCCAACCTGCTTCCCCTTGCATCTCCCATGCAAAGAGTCATGCTGGCTGCCTCTGCAAGGTCAGGTGCACAACCTTGGAGAGAGATAAATAGGGGAAGTTCACTGAGTGGGAAGGAAAGGAGACTGGAGAGGCCCTATTACAAGCCCTTTCTGCTTTCCTTTGGAGCACTGTCGCTTGACTAGCCAGTGAAAAACGAGTTGAGTGAAAATGCAGGTGGGTGATGGGTGGGAGGGGAGGACAAGGAGGCAAAGATTATCTCTGTTCCTCCTGTCTATCATGACCATGCACCTCTGAGTTCAGGGGCTACAATCAGTATAATAGAACTGGGCCTACATAATGTGCATGTATGCATGAAACAGCCTGTAATGCTACACAGACTAGCCATTAAATGTCAGAGGTGCTATACAATTTTATCTTCTCCCACAAACATTGTGACAGCTGTACTTCCTAACTTGTGTTTTACATACATTTTTAATTACAGCAACGTGAAGAACTTACCAAAAGGAAAGAGAAGCTTTCCAAAAGGAGGGAGAGAATGATCAAAGAAAGTGGACCAGATGCAGATAAAAGCATCCACAATATTAATGAAGAGATGGAGTCATTGAGTGCAAATATAGACTACATTAATGACAGTATTTCTGACTGCCAGGCAAATATCATGCAGATGGAAGAAGCAAAGGTATGTCTTCCTCTGAGAATTTGCAACAGTATTATGTTTAAGTCGAAAACTTAAATATTTTAAAGGGTGTTCTGTTTACCTTTTTCCTTTTCTGGTAATGCCAGACATAATAGGATTCAATTTTAATATGAAAGGTTTCTAATTCAGAACAATTCAAATAGCTCACCTGAAGCCCATGTTTCTGCGTAACAACTGCTGCTGTCTTGTTTATGCAGGAGGAAGGAGAGACTTTAGATGTCACTGCAGTGATCAATGCCTGTACACTAACAGAAGCTCGATATTTACTTGACCATTTCCTTACAATGGGCATTAATAAGGTAACACATAGAGAAACCTATGGAGTCTTCTGCTGGATTACTGCTGCATGTTTACAGACTAATGACTGGATGGTGTGCTTAATTTTCTCAAATGTGTAAGATCATATACTGTACTGGTATACAGTTCTACCCAGCATATATCCACCCACAGAAATATGTTTTGTACTCTGCACATTGGGTTGAAGAAGGAAACAAGTAAATGCCAACTAGTTCTGTCATAGGTGACCTAATCACAGGGGAGCAGTTCTTTGTAAAGATTTTCAGTGGTATTGAGGCCAGTTCAGATTGGCAAGAGGAGGAGGAGCAGCAGCAGCAGCAGCAGCTCACTACTGTGCTTATTCTTGGAAAATCCCAGTGTAACTGGAGCGGCCATGCTTTTCCTCTCTGGAGAAACAGCAGGGTCTTCTGAAACAGTGAGCTTGTGTTGGAAGGACCAGCAGAACTGCCAATGCATACAAAAACCCAGCTTGTGGAAAGAAACCACTTGTTCATTCTTGCATGGGGGCTTTTTGGTGGAATGGAGAGAAGTTTTCTCTTAACTTCTCTCTGGGTTTTTGCAGAAGTAACAGCAGCTGTGGAGCACTGTTGCTGCCTTCTGCAAAATCCCCAAACAAGCAAGAGAACTGACCAAAGGCAGGAGTCAGTGGTGAATAGCCAGAAAAAAAATGTGTAATCAACAAACTAATGCAAAGTTCTTTCAAATAAAGGAGAATAAAAGAATATATAATATGTTAGGCCAGTTCTTCTCCTAATGTGGTTTTAATTTGCATGCATTCTCCTAAAATATTTTTATTTCATTTTATTTCATGTTGTCCATAAAGGTTTCATGTCAACAGGAGAACCTTTTCCTACTAGGACATTGAATTCTGCACATTAAGACTTTATTCCACATTTGCATAGCTTTTTTCCTTGTGTGTTTGAGAAATTACACAAGTAAGACATTAACTTTTCATGAACATTGCACGAGTATAGGTGATTTTTCCTCACTGTTGACTGAAAATTTTTCTAATTTTTGAAACCCTGTTTGATTTTTGCAAAGTATGTTGTCAGGTTAGTTAGGCATTCTGAGACAAATGCAGAATGTTATAATTTTTGTCACACTTAATGTTATAAATTTCATATATAGCAAAATGTTCATGGGCTTTTAGGATGGCAGCCATAAAAATTAAAAAAGAGTTTGTAGAGTCTGTCTTTATTCATTTATGGCTGTGCATTAATACATTTATTTTAAGGAGATGATAAAAACCTTTCTACATTTTCAATAGGGTCTCCAAGCAGCTCAAAAGGAGGCTCAGATTAAAGTTCTTGAAGGACGCCTTAAACAAACAGAAATTACTAGCGCTACCCAAAACCAGCTGCTATTTCATATGCTGAAAGAGAAGGCAGAATTAAATCCTGAACTTGATGCTCTTTTGGGCCATGCTTTGCAAGGTAATTTCAGCCTTTTACAAAATGGAATTAGACTGCATGCTAGGGTGCTAACGATGCACGTTATAGTAAGTGTGTCTCAAAGTGTGTTATGAATAGATGCTGTATTTATATTATCTCATAAGACCTTACTCAAGGTGTGTGCATGCAAAGAGTTGTTTTTAGAAATACCATATTCCATATCAGTGAAATCTAGGAAACTACACAGTTAATCACTGCTAGAGCTTGAATCCAGATAACTTACCCACAAAATCAGGCATTTAACAAATCGGACCAATAGCATTCTCAGTACCTCAATTCTCAGTTGAGAATGATAGGTGTACTCCTGTTGTGTGTATGCTGTGGCATCTATTCTTCTAGTTCTGGTAGCGATAATCTGTTCCTAATGTAGCATAGGGCTCTTTATTTCCCATTCTGCAAATGGATTGGTTTTGATTGGAGTGTTGCTTTTGTTTCCTCCTTGCTGTTGTTTTACACAGACCTAGATAGCATACCGTTGGGTAAGTATTTGTAGCTTCTGTGTACTGCACAGCTGCATGAAATACTAATGATATATGTATACACTAACTGGCGCATCATAGAATGTGAGCGTGTATAAAGTCTGCATGTACCATTTGGGAACCATACGCATTCTTATATGCTTACAGGGTCCGTTTTCTTTAGGGATGTCACTTCTTGCAGATGCGTTGGTTAACAGCTGAAACAGACATGGGTGCAGCCAGTGTGAAAATCCTTGAAGGTTCCTCAGTGTGCACTGGGGTGCTATAGCTGATCTTCTGTTGCAGATCCATTTGCACTTTCACTCTTACTGTAGCTGTAACACAAATAACAATTTTCCAGGCAAAATGCAACTCCTTTTCTAAAATTCATTTTAGCAGCACAAATAACAAGCTTCTTTTTTCAGATAAGTGCTTTATAGAAATTTCATTTGTAATGCAAATTGATTGATGGTACATTTAGTTGTTAAGTGGACATTGCATAGACAAGCTACAACTATCATTCAGTGGTTAGTCTCTGTTAAATATGGCAGATAAAAGTTTTGTGTTGACTTGTGACTATTTAGTGTGTGTGTTGTTAAAGCAACTTACATAACAAATATAAGCGAACCAGAAAGATTTCAGTCCATTTCATTAAATGTTTTTAAAATGGGGTTTCCTGGAATTGCATACCGTGCAGTCCGGTTTCTTCTGGCTCAGGCCTTCTATGGTGAACCTCATTTTGTACTTGCGTACCAGTTGCATGGAGGAGTCTGTCTGCATCCTAGAAAGGATGGGCTCATGCGAGGGCATATAATGTTACTGCCACACTACTTTAATATCTGGATGGGTCAGTCTCCTTTCCATGCACACTCACTGGAAGTTAGTCTTAATGTGCTCTTAAGCTTACATCAATCTTGGCTCGAATATTTGTATCCATGAAGAAATTTAGAGTAGTTACTGGGTGCAGACACCGCTTTCCATAGCTCAGTATGATGCCCTCCAAGTGGGGTAGACCTCTTTTCTCATCAGCCCAGCTAGCATGACTAATGGCCAGGAATGCTGGGAACTGTGGTCCAAAACATCTGGAGGGTATCAATATTTTTTTCAATCTTTTATTGTTTTCTTGAAAGAAAGAAAGTAGAGAAAGGAATAAAATGTAAAAGAAAAATAAGAATGCCAAGGGATCATACCCAAATATACATTCATAACCTGCAAATTCCCAAAAGACACCCTCCCCAAATTTCTATCTTTCTGTCATTAATACTTCGTTGAAGTTCACAGAAAAAATGATTATGAGAGCATCACATTTTGGAAGGCTGCCCTAGCGTCTCTTGTTTCCACACATCAGGGAGAACTGAACTGCCCGCAGGGAATTCTGCATTTATGTGACATGGGGGCTCTGCCATGTTCATTCATTCCTTTGTCCTTCCAAGTCAAAAGGGAGGCAGTGCATGAGCATGTGCATGACCCTCTTCTGTCTCTCCTTGCAGGGGATTGCAGGGTACAATCCTGCAACTATGTAATGAGCAAACAGCTCTACTGTCTTCTAGGAGACTAAGGAACCTGTGATGAGGGTTGTGGCTCAGGGCTATGCAGAAAGTCCCAGGTTTTACAGGTAGTGCTGGAAAAACATCTGCCTGCAGCCCAGGAAAGATACTGACTGAACATGTTGACAAAATGGGCTAGAGGGAGCTATGGCCTGATTCAGCATAAGGAAGCATTCTGTGTGTCAAAGAGGAGGAGTATAGTAGTAAGTGATGCCTCATGGTATAAGGAAGAGTCCTGTGAGGGAGGAGATGGAATACAGGGACCACAGAAGGGGAGGAAGGCAACTTAGATGCCTGGGAACACAGCAATTCTTAAACCTCCCCAATTTCTATTTTTAATTAAATGCTATTAAATCATATGCAACATGTGTATACATTAAGTGAAGGCCACCATGATTGGCTCATAAGATAGCTAGTGAGGCAAAAGGAAAACACAATGCCCTATTCCTCCCTACCTCTCATTCCAAAGCAATGTGAATTCGTGGATAAAAGTGCTGTCTTTTGCTATGCATCTTCAGTAGTCGCATGACATACATGCCTACTATATCAGCTCGGACAAGCACAAGCACATGAAACTAGAGCCATTCGCTTTTTCATTTCTTCGTTGCAATGCTTTGCTTGTTGTTTGTCAGTCAATCATCTTCATAGGTAGCCCTGTGCATCCTTGTGTTGTACTGGGGATGTAACCAAGACTGTATTCCTCTGTGTTAAACTTTTGTCCTCTCAGCCAAATTACTGAGCAAGTATGCAGCCGCGTTCAAGCAGTTTAGTTCCCAGCATTCCTGACCCTTGGTGATGGTAGCTGTGGCTTACTGGAACTATTGTACCTTGTTTGGTACTACATGAATATGTTTGGAGAATGCAACCTTCTAGAAGGCAGGTTATGATAAACCCCAAGGGGATTGGAATGGTTGGAGACTAACTCTACTACAAAGGTTAGCAGAGTTTCCTTAATAGCCCAGTTCTATCTCTAGTATGATGCAATAAACATGGCTTTTAAAAATGTGGACTCTAGCTGTGGGGATAGGCATTGTTTGGGTTCTGCCCATATGTCTTGGCTGGGCATTGGTCCAAGCTACTAATTGTTTATTATTATTATTATTATTATTATTATTATTATTATTATTTTCTTAATGATGCCTTTTGCCACAGTGATAACACTGAAAGTAACTGTGTACTCATTTCATCTGGTTTACCAATTGACTCCCTAGGAGCACCACTGTAAGGTATCCAGAGTTCCCCAGGGATGTCACAATAACCATTTTTGTCTCCTTTCTTTTGTTCTTTTGTGTATGTGTTTCTGAATTAAACTTTGTACTTCCAGTGATGGGTGGTACATTTTATTTGGCATTTTTGTGCATGCAGACATATTTATGAAGTGCTGTGGCAGTGACTGACAAGCATGCTAGTGTTTTTCTTGTGTAAGCTGATGCTCAGGTTCCATGTCATCTGCGTAGTTTAACATTCTTCCTGTTTCTTCTTTAGATGCTGTAGCAACTTAGGAGTCCATTGTGTAAATGTAGCTTAGTGAAACCATCTTGCTTTATAAGGCCAAAGTAGCTGTTTTAGTATAAAATGGGCAAAGTAATAATCACCTGTTGAATTTAAATTGCCAGCTAATTGAATGCTTTCACTGAATATTCTGAATAATAATCATAATAATATAAACTGTGGGGATGTTCTAGGTCTATGCAAGGCATTTTATTTCTGTTCACACTGCCTTTTTGGGATGTATTTCGAATTTCTTCTCTGCATGGGCAGTAAGTACAATAAAAGTTATTCTTCCTGAGGCAGAAAATTTGGAGAAAGAATAAATAGCTTAGCATATGGATTAACCATCTGGAATACAGTGGAAAACTAGGTCACTTGAAGATAATTGGATTCTGTTCTAAATAAAAATGAATGAATATGTGAGTTTTCAAATGGTGAGACAATAAAGATTATTGTTTACTTGGATAGTATGAGGAGCCTTTGCAATAGATGTCTGTCATGCATAAAACTGGCTAACAAAATAATGACTTTGGGAATTTTCCAGAAAATACAGAAGACAGTACTGATGAAGATGCTCCTTTGAACAGTCCTGGGGCTGAAGGGAGGTGAGAAATCAATGTAAACTTTATACTGAAGCTACTTCTAAAATGGCTGCTTCCAGTATTTTATAAAAATGAGTGTAACTTCTTACTGCATCTTCCTTAATAATTCTAAGAAAACTAAGAATGAACAAAAAGATTAAACTGCTATAAAGAAGGAACTAGCAAAGATAAGCCCAATGGATTTTCCATTTCACTAGTAAGAACAGTGTGTGGCTTCAGGCATGACCTGTTTGTTCATATGTCTGTAAACCAGAAGGCCTGGCTTTTTCTGCCTTCCCAGATAACTGAATGAAGATGAACATGAAGCCTGTCTCTCCAATTCAGTTGCAGCTTCTTCAGAGTTCCCAGAGCCCACTGAACCCTTTTTCTGCCTTGCCTCCTTTAAGGAAATGACCTTCAGTAGACAAACCCCAAATCTGGGACCTTTTCAGGCAGGGAGACTGTGGCATCACAGGAAATCTTGCATGTGTACACTTCTGGATCATGTAATTTCATTCTTATATTGTGCTTCTATACCACCCCATAGTCAAAGCTGTCTGGGAGTTTCTCAATGGTTAAAACTTTAAAATACATGATAAAAGTCATATACATACAAAATATACTTCACAGAGAGACATGTACACATATATCCCAAAACATTAAACAGTCAACAAGAAAAACGTTTGGCAGGAAAATAAATCAAAACTGACCAGCGCCATCATGATGTGCTGTCAAATACCTGAGAGAAGAAACTGTTTCTGGTACAGAAAGATAATAATGTTGGTGCCACGTGGGCCCTGTCGGGGGGGGGGGGGGTAACCGCCAAGAAGGCTTTCTCCCTTGCTACTGCTTTCTCAACCTGGCCTTAGATGGTAACACAGTGCACAGGTTGATTCATGCCTGGAAATGTGGTCCAGCAGGTATTGATTGATTGTCAGCCCAGAAATAATATTTTGATCTCACCCAAACATGCAGCTTTCTTCCATCAAAGCATGTCCACACATATGTGAACCTGACATTAGATGTAAAACTCTGTGGTGGTAGCTGCTGTTAGGACTACTTGCATAAAAGAGAATTACCTTGTTTTTCTGACAGCTTCCCTCTAAATTGCCAATTTTGTTTTCAGTTCTTTGTCTTCTGACCTCATGAAGCTTTGTGGTGAAGTCAAGCCAAAAAGTAAGGTAAGCTGAATTAATATGGATACTAATACAGTAATTTTTGCATAGTTACGGCATCTTCAATTGCATTTTTTCAGAAGAAGCATAATTTAAATGTATCATGCTGCATTTCTCAGATAAAGCGATATATCATCATTTGTGTACAAATTTCCTAGCTCTTCACGTACCCAGAACTGTCCTTTTCTCATAGGTTATTGACATTGTTGTAGCTCTTAGGAAGACTACATTTCCCAGGGGCTATTGAGGGTATGATACTAGAGTGGATCTGGGGGAAAGTGTCTTCTTGCAACATGCTTCCAGGGGGCTGCCATTGCTGGAAAGTGTGTATGGCGAGGGGACAGACTGCTGTGTGGCCACAATGACAGCTCAGTAAGTAATAAGTAGGAGGAGAGAGAAGTAATGAGGTTATACTTCTATACTTATGTTGAGGTCCTGGTGCAGAAAGTAACTTTAGAAATAGGTGTGGTTTGCTGATAGTTACCTGAAGCTGAAGTGAGGCAGAAGGGGGCTGCTAGAATTTGCACTCTTGAGGGCTGTGGCTAGATTTTCAGGGAACCCATGGTTCTAAGATGGTTATTCCTGATTAACAAACTATGGTTTGTTAGCATAACTGGGTTCACACAGCACAACAACCAATAGTTCAGTGACAGTCCTCACTCAGCCTTTAGTATGGCTTGAATGTTGTGTAATCCCAGCCTATGTCTGCATGATCTTAGGTCCTGGTCCCTAAGTTCTGCCTGAATCTGGCTTCAGAATAAAGTTTAAAGACATCAGTATTGAACCTATATTTGCAAAGATGTGCATATATATTATTTGGCTGAATAATACATACAACTGCCCAAAAGAAAAATAGAACATAGAAACATAGCGAGTCAGAAGGGGTCTCCCAGGCCATCTAGTCTGACCCCCGGCTCCAGCTGGCTCCACTCACAACATGCCCACCATGTGCATGTCCAGCCTGTGGAAGCCCATTCCACACCCTCGGGGTCCTAACTTAGGAAGTGCTTCCTGGCATTTAAATGGAACCTTGGTTCCCTGAGCTTTGCTCCGTTGGAGTGCATCTTGTCTTCCTCTGCAGGGGAGAACAGGTCTCTACCCATCTCTGTGTGACGTCCCCTCAAATACCTGTATGTCGCCAACATATCCCCTCTGGGTTTCTCCAGGCTGAAGAGAGCCAGTTCCCTCAGTCTTGCCTCATAAAGCATCCCCTGCAAACCGACCACCAACCTTGTGGCCCTATGCTGCACTTACTCTAACCTGGCTATATCCTTTCTGTAATGAGGGGCCCAAAACTGAGCACAATACTCCAGTTGCGGGCGCACCAGAGTCGTGTAGAGTGGTAGTAATACCTCTCTCGATCTAGAAGCCACACTTCTGGCTATGCAACCAAGGGTGGCGTTCGCCCTCTTGACCACCGCATCACACTGCTGACTCATGTTTAGCCTGCAGTCAACCAGCACCCCGAGTCCCTTTCACAAGTGCTGCTCTCCAGCCACTTGTCACCTAACCTGTACTTATGACACCTATTCCTATGCCCCAAGTGCAAGACCTTGCACTTATCCACATTGAACGCCATCCTGTTGTCTCCTGCCCACTTCCATAGTCTGTCCAGATCCTTTTGGATCTGGAGTACCTGTTCCTCAGTTGTGGCCACTGCTCCAGTTTTAGTGTCGTCTGCGAATTTGATCAGCAAAAGAAGCTTGTGAAGCTCGAGAAATCTGTCATTCATTAGATGTTTGTCATTCAATAGTGTGTGGTAGTTTATATCTGCCTTTCAGCTTGTAAGTGGCTTTTGCATCCACCCTAGGCCTCTCTATCACACTCATTTAAATTTTTGAGCACTTTAGTTTGTATTGTGTAGCTTGATGTTTTCCGAAGAAAATTAGATTAGCCATGCACTAAAAACAATCAGATTTTTAAAATCCTACTTAAAAATGTTATTAACACTTTGTTTCAAATGAAATAATCATTTGCACTTTGTGAACTCTTTACTCCAGTCTTCTGTAATAATTCTGTGTATTCTGCTCTGTTATATACTAAGAAAATCTGCATTCTGATACCTTCTGCACAAATTGTGTTCTATTTATTCTGACAGTCTTATTTCAGGATCAAATACAAGTTCATCTTCTGTTCCAGAGTAGATGTCTGGCTTTCCTAAACACACTGAATATTAGGATCTGTTAAATATATAAAACTAGTTATCTTTGTCTCTTGTAGAATGAAACATTTTGTTTTAAAGTAGGTACTGGTCACTCTTCTTTTTTATTTTTCTCAAATAGAGCAGATGAGAGACAACTATGGTTTCAGTGCATTTTCTGTCCAAGTTAAAAAGGAATGCTGGATATTCCCACTCCCTGCTTTAAATATATACAAATAGCTTTGCATTGTGCACAGGAATTTTATTTTCCTTTTTCCCATTTATTTCAGGCACGTCGTAGGACCACAACCCAGATGGAATTGCTTTATGCTGATAGCAGTGACTTAACCTCAGATCTCAGTACAGGAGACACAGCTTTGGCTGCCCCTCTTGCATCTGTTGCAGAAGCTCAGGAAGAAGGAATGAACACTGACTTGAAAGAGTCTCCGGCTAGGGACAGGGAGGTCATTCCCTTACAGTCAAGCTTGCCATCTAAGACTGGCAGCATGTAAGTTCTGCACAATGTACTAACTCCCTTATGGCTTCCAAACTGCATGTTGCTAATTTCTTGCAGATCACAGTAGATGTCAGGCTAGTTAGGGGTAATTATTCCTTCATATCCCTCCATCTTCTACTGCACAGTCATCACAGAACAGGCTAAATTTTTAGTACTCTTAACTTTTTTGTCAGTAGTAGATTTAGTTCTACAGTAGATTTTTGGGAGGGATGCCAGCTGATGTACTGTATGCCCAATTCTGTGGAGGAAGAAACCCAGGAAGGACAAGTGATATGTAAATGCAACCTAAAATTGGGGCATTGATGTGATGTTCACATAATGTAAAATCTAATCATAATTAACTGTAGTGTTAAGGGAGGCAGGCAGTTTGGGGGAAGTCTGGACATTTTGGCTTATAATTTGCATCCGCCTAAGGCAGCATAGCCCTTGGTGAGGGATCATGGCAGCTGTTGGCAGAAGTGGAGTCCACAAGTTGTATGGAGTGGGTCCATTGACACGATAATTTGTGAAACATCTTTAAAGCATTTTTGATATCCTGTTGACTCTACAAATGTCTTGTTCCATTTTAGGGGCTGCATAGGATGACTGAGCAAAAAGATGAGAGGGAAGGCAAACAAAGTGTTTACCCTGTGAGCCATATGGCTCACTTTCCAAACATGGGACATATATTTATGCCGATAGTATTAATCAGTGAAGGTCATGATATCAGTTATACCACAGATCTTATTCCTATGTCATCTACTAAACCTATTGTAAATTGCCATTGATATCCATATATGGGAAGAATATACATATATTTGGGAACTGTATCTATATTTGTTGTTTTTCTTTAAATCACATATATGTATATGCACTAATAAAAATGTGCATGCGCATGTGATTTCCTGAATTAAACTACTGACCGAAATAAAATTATTTTTACATAGCAGCTGAACAAATACTAATATTTGCACATTTTATGCATGTTGCTCATGACAGTACAAATAAGCAGTGAAATACCCACTCTTTGTTAATAGTCTTGGCTTCAGTGCTTTTGTAAGCACTCTTTGAAAAAAATGTTTTGATAGTGTAAATAGTCATTAGCATAGTCTGAGAGCCCTGCTTATATGTACTGCAGTGTTCTTCAAGATATAAGCAAAAAAATGGGGCTGCTTGGCATGAAATCCAGGATTCAAGTATGTTTTTTCTTTGTAGCATTTGTTCATAGCAAATAATTGTAAATCAAGAAAAGCAGTTAAATACATTTTGCAAGTGAAAGTCCAGGTTCACAGGCTTGTTGAGTTTCAGTGCAAGTTTTCTTTTTATCTCATCACCACTGGGCATTAGGAGGCCTTTCTTCCATGCAGATTGTAGGGGGGTCTTAGGCATGCTGGTATATTTCTTCCTTAGTTGCCCATTTCTAATAACAATGCCAGCTTACCTTACAAGTACAGAAATCTTCCTGATCTTGTCTCGTAGCTCCAACATCTACCAGGAGCTGTCAGAATATCAGGGAAGTTTTCAGATCCTCAAGCCCAGCTCATGAGACAATTCCTGCTAGACTTTGAAATTGGCAGTGAGCCCCTGATCCTCCTTCAAACTTCTGGCTCCTGCTACTCCAGTCTAATAGCTACTGGAAGCTGTCAGAGTGAAATTAAATACCAGAAATAGAATGTATGGAAGTGTTAACTCTCAGTATTCTGTGTTGTGGGATCTCCCCACCCTTTTTTTGGAGAGGAAGAAAGAAACCTCTTTTCATGGAGAAGGTATACCCAGACTAGGATAATCTCCCTGCGCTTGCTTCTGAGGAAGGCCTTATATGAATTAACTAGACCTAAAATGCCCTTCATGAGAAAGCCTCTTCCAGTTCAGAAGACAGGTATAACATTTGAAAAGCAGCATCAGTGGGAAAACATTTAGCCAACATCATGGGTGTTTCTACTTGTATGATGGTGGAAATCATAATGCTTGAAGGCAAGATGCCATAAGGCTTGATAATAAGATGTAAATCTATTAACATGGTGGCTAAATTCAGACACTATTTGGCATTAGGAGAATGAGCAGGCACCATCCGTGGGGGCACAAGCTCTCTTCTGCCCTTTCTCTTCTATGAATGAGAAGAAGCTTCTGCTTGTGGTCTGTAGCAAACCACAGTTTCCAGTTTAGTGTCAATATGGGAAACCATAGTTTCTGTGAATCATAGCCTGTTTGTAGACTAGATATCAAACTGGGCCACAGTTCAAACAGAGAGAGGAAACTTCTTATTTACTACCCTTGCCCCAAAAGAAAGAGGGAAAGCAGGTAAGGAGTACTGAGTCCATGTCTCTTTCCTATTAAAATGTGAACCTCCCTGAGAGCTTCAGCTGTGGGTAGTATAGAAATGTAATGTCATCATAGTAGCTGTTGGCACAGGATATCACTCAGAGAAGTTTGCAAGCCAGGGAGGCTTTCTGGATGGAAGAAGCCACAGGTCAGACATCTATCTAGTGCAGTTTTGTCATCCTGGCACTTTTTGGCTGTGTTGGACTTCAACTACCATAATTCCTACCATGGTACTTGACACCCGGCTGGGGAAGTTTGCTCTACATGGTGTCTCCCCACATGCCTTGGACTACAGTGAAAGGGCACTCTGGTTCATGTGCCTGCAGCATTACAAACAAACTATGAGGAATTTCTGTAAAGCTTTGTCTGTGATTAAAACTGATGACGCATGGGAGGGCAGTTGAAAATCCAAAGGATTTTTTTTTTTTTTATGAGAACAGTGAAAGAAGATCATGAAAAGTACAGAAACACTAGAAACCAGGATAAAGCTCTTGCATACTCTGTGAACTTTTTTGCTGAGTGTATTGTAAATACTGAACAAGTTCTCAAGACAAAGATGTTTGCCTATTCCTCTTAGAAACACACTATAGAATGCATGTAAAGAGTGATTAGTGACCAGGATGCTCATTTAGAGGCTTGTCCATTCAGATGGTTCACCATGAATCACTGAAAGTTTGACAGACCTGTAAATGGGATTGATTTGCTCTAATAGGATCTGGGGGTTCAAGTATTACTTCATTGAAAATGGGATTATTTTGCAGAAGTCCAATCTTTTGTTCCAGCTACTTATGATGTAAGAAAACGAGTAGAAATTCTACAGACTGGATCTATCAAAGAGCCAGTTTGGTATAGGAGAGCCAGTATGATGTCAAAGTTAGAATGTTCAACTGGGACTTAAGAGTTCCATGTTCTAATCCCCACTTAACCATGAAGTGGAAAAAGGTGGAACAGAAATATAATATATACGTGCATTAATAAATTAGTCTGTGGAATCTATGAGACAAATTACACATGACATTTATTTTATTTATTTAAAATATATATATCCTGTCTTTTCCCAGAACAGGTCTCAATATGGCTTTACAAACAGCAACAGCACAAATTAAATACAATATAAAACATATAGTAAAATCCCCATTTTAAAACAGCAGCAAACCTTAATATATTGGGTAAATAACAAGGTTTTGGCCTAGTGCCAAAAGGAATAAATTGTTGTTAGACATACCTTTCTGGAAATCAAGTTCCAGAGCTGGGGTGCTACCTCAGAAAAGCCCTTCTCCAAGTAGCCTCTCTTCTCATCTCCCTCAGAGAGTACTTACGAAGAAGGATCTAAGTAGAAGATGTATACAGGTAGGTGTATACATTGCAATTCCCTATGTCAATTTCTTTTTGTAAAAGCAGACTTGAGTGATACTGATTGAGCTTTTGGGGTCAGAGCAGTAGGGGATCAATTTCCCTTGAGCTACAGCCCTGTCAATATCACTATTGCCACCTCAGAGCCTCAGAGAATTGGAGCGATGGCAAAGGAAAGAGGGTTGGACACCTTCCCCCATGTGACCTCTCACTGCAACCCTGATCTCAACTGGGGAGGCATGACTGCTATTATAAAAAGAAAACAAATGTAGGCCAAAACTGAACATCGCCCAGAATTTGGCCCTATTATATCCCTATTTCTTTTTTGTTCCACCCCTTTTTACGCCTGATTAGAAAGTGGGGTTTACTTGTTTCCTGATAGATACCTTGTAGAACTTGCTAGATGAACCCCCAGCAACCTCCCATGATAGTAAAAAGAGAAATGAATGAAAAAGATGCTTTTGTAGAATGTGGAACAGGATAATTGTATGGAAATTTTAAAAATACAGGGATGAGGTCACATGGACAGAGAGATGCAAGGTTAATCTTAGAGGTAAGTCTCTGCATCCCAGGAGACACCTACTTCTTTCAGTGACTTGGTTCACGCTACTTGCTAGGCCACCTGCTTCCTGGAGGGTGGTTCCTAAGCCATACCAGGGTGGCATATAAATCATCCCAAGTACACATGTGTTGTTCCAGGATTTAGAAGATCTCTGTGGCTTAGTGTATCAGCCAAATCCAGACAACACAGTCAGTTCCTGGTTTGCGTATGTTCTCTTCCTGAAAAAATGGAAATTTGTCTTTAAGTCAAATTTGTGTGCATGTCGGTCACAAATAGTCGGCCCTCCACATTGAGTTATGGGCACAGGATCCCCATGAAAGTGGAAAAACCATGAATATCTCTACCCGCTCTCCCCCTGCCCAAACTCACCAGTGTCATCTGGGAGTTCCTTCTCCATATTGGAAGGGCAGGAAGGCATGCTTTGGAGGCCTCACTCTACCCTTTCACTTCTCCCCCTCTCTATGGTGACAATTTTCGGCAGTATTTAAAAATAATTAATAGGCTTTATGGCAGTTTGTTCGTAAGTACAGTACAGGTTGTTTGTAACGTGGAGACTACCTGTACACTAAGACACATGAAGCTAAAAGATAGAAGACTCTCATGGCAAGAATTGGAAAGAAGTGTCATACATAGAGGAAGCTACCACAGTCTTCTTAGTGAGCTGCTTGCCAGCCAGGCAGGAATGCTTTTCTTTTTTCCTGCCTTCTCCACTGCTCAGCTGCAGGGCTGTTCAACTGAGTGGG